TAAAAAAACTAGCTAAATGGCGAATCACAAATCGAAGCATTGACTATACAACTGGATTATGTGGAACTGAAGAGAACACTCTGGTACAGTTTTGTTTAAAATTCATTTCTTAATTAAAGTTGAAAATTAAAAATTTAAAAATCCAACATATAAGGATGTTAGAAAGATAACCGACCTCAAATACAGACGTTCATGTTTCCAGCTGCTAACCGGTCGTGGAACGTTGGTAATTTATTCAAAGTAAGAAAAAATCAGCTTGAATATATTAATTTGAGCTAGAGTTTATAATTTAATTGCTTTTGATGAATTAATAGCGATAACACGGATCCCGAGTTAAGAATATCATCACGGGGAATGAGAGAAACATATCGGAAGCTAAAGGAAGTTTGGACGTCTGGTGGTGTGGCTCCTTCTGTGCAAATTTTTGAACATCATCATTGATAGTTAAAAATATATTATTCATGAATAGTCTTTTATTATAATTTTGCTTTAAGAGAATGTTTTGTATTTCAAAGTTTATAATAATATCTAATATTTAGAGAATTTGTGTATTAAGGTAAAAAAAAACTTGTACACGATATAATAGTCTACAATATATAAAATACATTATAAATAATTTACTGCTTTCTTGTTAAAAAATTCATCGTTTTGTTTGATTGCAATGGATGAACACAGTTTCCGCCGCTCCATCACAGCAAGCGTCTGTATATAAACTATAGACATAATAATAAAAAAGAAGGCTATTAACCGTTCCATAAAAGGCGCAATGCGCTTCCCCTTTATTTAACATAGAACAAAGTCCACAAGCACACAAGTTTCATGAGTTCCACCAATCAACTTAAATGTTTCAAGTTAAGAAAAGGCAGCACGAAACATTGGTTTAACTTTGCCTTTAGATTCTGCATTATTTAATTTCAATGCAAGATAATTTTTTTGGTAAAATGAAGACCTTTACCTCAAACGTATCGATCCATTGATCTTTTAAAGACGTGAATAGCGTCAGCTTCGAATGAACGAAGAAGAGTTAAAATGTTTTTAGTTTGTGCCGTCATTCAAGCCAGTAATAGTCGTTGAGCAAAATGTTATAATTCTTGCAGCCTTGTGATTAGCCAACGAGTACATGCAGTTCTTGCACATTTAAGAAACTCATCACCATATGAACAAGCTAAAGAGCAAATAATAAAAGCAACACATTCTCGTCGATAAATCGTGCCTTCGGCAATCGCAAGATAAGCTTTCCTTCGAATAGTATTTTATATCTTCACTCGCCAATATTGAGGGAATTGGGGTAATGTCGATTTGGGAATTTTGTTGACTTCTTTTTATTATTAACGAGAATGTTCCTATTACAATACGTAATGTATGGAGATATTAAGAAAAGTGGCAAAAATAGTGCGTGTAGTTTGTAATCAAAATGACGTTATTAACCAAACTGTCCAATATCGTATACGTATGGATGTATAATTCAAAGTTCATCTGTCAAACGTATAGGTATGTTATTTATTGAACTTAACAATTACATGTATTTCTAAAGATATAGAAATCTGGATCAGCATAAATTATAAAATGTTCTAATTCGAGCAAAGGTGGTGGTGCAAGGAATACAACTCAGTTTTGGGATTAGCGCAGGTTCAAAGTTAGGCTAAAGATTACCATTGGTCAAATTAAGATATTGTTTGGCCCAAATTACGGAATCCTAAAAATTACCCAGAAAATCATTGGTGAGCAACTCGTAACGAGATAAAGAGTTATGAAACTCATTTTTAATCAAGTCTTAAAAGGCGAAACTCAAAAGTTGTCGAAATCAAAAAGATTTTCAAAGCTTTTGGCTTTTACGAGTTTGAAATTTTCAAAAAAAAATATTTTATCGTTATGAAGAAAAATAGAAAGCTTTGATTTGTGAGGTGTTTGTTGTGTGACGTTTGATGTATTTATTTGACAATAACCAAAATATATTTCATAGGATAGGTAGGTTACTAGTATTGTTGTTCTATCACATACTTTTGTTATTAAATTGCGAGAAAGACTGACAAGGGTTGGTAAAACTGACTGATAGGTCGTCTCAATTATTGTTGTTGTGCATTTCAATTGATAATGTCTGTCATTTTTCCCTCCTCAAGTCGTCCGTCTGCCTGTTTAGCTAACAAATCATTTGTATCGATTATTTGATAAAAGATAAAATGAGACATCAAGTGCTTAATGACATAATTATGATGCATGCGTTTACAACTATTCTTTCACTCATGCCTCATCACGCGTCACGTAGGCAGATAAGAAAAAAAATTCAATTGATTACCTATTTTAGATGTTTAAAATCCGTCCGTTAGGACCCTCCTCCGAGTATAATAATACAGACGCAAATTATTCCAGTTTTTTCAAGTTATTTCAAGTAACAAAAGTACAAGACAAATTTTTGCATTCATAATGCAAATGACAATTATAAATCTATTTTTACAAAATCTTTAAAGTCCAGATTTAACAATATTGTACATGCATATGAATGGCATATTAAAAATAACGTCATATTTCAAAGAGAAAAAAATTCCTCGTCAGCAGATATTATCCACACCTCATGAATATCTCTCCAGAATAAAAGAAGCCAGTAAAAAAAAGAACTTTTATCTTTACGTTATAAAAGGAAGGCTGGGAAACAAGAAAGATTGTATTCTAACTTATGATATGCACATTCTTTTGTTTTGAGAATTGATTCGGCGACACAATGCATTGAAACTAACATTATAGATCAATGTGTAATGCTTCGATACATGCAAATATCTCTTTTTTGATTTTCTTCTATCTCCTGCATCATTATGTTTTATCGCCACCACCAATTTCGGTGTACTAAAATATCAAAAAGTAAAAGTGACAATGAGCGTGGGAGAGAAAGCATAAACTTTATTTTTTTGCTTTTAATGCTATTCATGCCGGAAGCATTGTCCATCTATGTTCGAAATAGTATTTTTAAATGGATACACGTACCCCACGCACACAATTAATAATGTCTACATAAATTCAAATTACGCGGTCTCTTTTTTGCTTTAACCGTGCGAAGCTTGCATGAGATTGTTCGTCTCGATAGCATTCAGTTTTTTTTGTGTACACCATTGTGGAACTCCTTCATTGTCCGATTATTCTGGAAATTCCAACATAACTTTTTGTTTATTGCCCTTGCATTAAATTCTTATGAGCAAAGTTAATGTCATAATTTTTTTATTCCTCTTTTTAAAACCAAATTAAAACAACGAAAAAGCTCCAGTCTCTTTCGAAAAAAAATTTAGAGAGGTTGTGTACCGTGAAGATAATTTGTAAAACAGGCAAATATTAACATATTTGTCGAGATTTGCCAATTACTCCCCAGAATTATAAATTGACCTACTTTCACAAGAGAATCTATGCCATTTTAAGGCCTAGCTTATAAGTTGCGCTTAAATTTTAGGAGAGAATATATATATATATTTTAAAAACTTTTTCTTTCATACTTTAATGATAGGTTAGAATGATTCTTATATTTTTTTTTCAAGCCATAAATTCATTTTGGGAACGAACAATCACATTACGATCCAATTAAACAGGAGTGATGATTTTTGTAACCCCTCTAACGGTTAATATCACCTCATGAAGAAATCGAACACCTTTTAATAAATCAAGCTCTGGTCTTATTAATACACGCCCATTTTGCATTATAATATATGCTTACTCAATCGCATATATTTGCAGTGCATTGAAGAAAGTCAAGACAACATGGGAAGGCATGAATGAGTTAGTCGGTGCACGCAAAGTTTGCCCGAAATCCCCCTCAAGTACCCAGAGAAAGTAAATTTTTCTCATCATATTCTATTGACACCCACAGCTTTACCCTGATAGAAAATAGCTCGTAAATATTGTTCTCCCCTGATCTGGGTCAATTCCTAAAAAGGTTAACTAATCCTTATCGTTAATATTGTGCTGAGATAAATGATTAATGCATGCCTCAAAAAACAATCTTTTTGAATAAACACAAACTTTATTCATTTACTGGTTTTATCCTTCACGAAAAAAGTGGTCTTACAAACTTTATTCTATTCTATTTACTGGTTTTATTCAAAAGAGTGCTTCTTTCTTCATGTACCTTCGAAACCCATGTCACTAAAATCACGATACTATGCAACATCGAGGTTAGTAGGATAAAGTTCAACCGTTTTTTGTTTGATGAAGAAATCACAATGCTTTTGTGCCACCCGCTTTGCTTGCATTGTTAGGGATAGAGCGGAAAAAAATCAAGAGATTGAAAACATCACAACTATGCTGTGATTACAAACTAACTTGCAGAAGCGCTTTCGCATACTCATAAGTTGCTGCCACATCTTCTGCAAACAAACGCCAGTCGAAGATAAACTAGAGAACACACATGCAAAAATAGTCATTGATCCGTAGAAAAACCAGTTTTCTTGGCTGCAAGTATGAATAGCCGATGCAAAAGTTCAATGAACAAGCTATATTTCCTCCCCAAACATATGTACATAGCCACAAATTGTGTATGAAAATTAAAAAATGAAATAAATGCGTGCAGCGTAAAAAAAAGTTCAACGTGGATTAAATGGATCAAAGTTAATGCAAAAATGTGATAAAATTTTTTTGATTTTTTTTTTTTATTGAAACTTCTTCTCCCTGTCATTTCACATTGTCAAAAGGTAATCACAGAGATCCATTTTTTTTTAGGGATGCCAGGTATCATTTACTATTATGTGTGATCTAACGCTAAAAAAAATGATCGATTTTGATTAACCTATAGAAAATGAAAATCATGAAAATTATTAATTCAGCATCAATGGCATATACGTCTAGCTTATTTTTAATAAAAATATATTTTTAATTAAATACACGCGATTATCGTGCAATATAATAACAATAAATACAACATGTATAAAGAATCGCCGCATTCATTTATATGTATATGATATAGATAGATAAATCAACCATATATTAGGTGAATGAACTGTTCGCTGTATGCACATGTATTCTTGCATGGGAAAAAGGATTAGATCGATGATAATGGTGCACCATTCAAGAATCCTGTGTAGAAGTTGGATCTATTTTCATTCCGAAAGTAAACTGCGCTGTATACGTAGTTCTTTCTGTACTTGACAAATAAAATAAAAATAATGGGATACTGTTCCTTTTTTTTCATAGTCATTATCGTCATTGATGTACACAAAATTTAAGGGAAATATTTTTTGCGAATTCCTTTTGTTCTCCTTTTATGGATGCAGGCAGTGTGCATTAAATAAAAACTTTGTATTTCATTCATATTGCATAGTCACTGTATTATTTTTCTACCTTAATAGTATAATCGATAATATTGATAGAAAAATCACGTAAAAAAGTAAAACAGTTTTTTCTATTGCCCTTGTCTTTTAAAAAAGGATTTTTATCCAATAGTGTATATAAGATTACTTAGCAAATAAATATTATTCTCAAAGTTTCCTAGGTTAATTGGGATAGGAATTTTTATCTTTTGATTTCACGTGTGGATTATCTTTAAAATTTTTCAAAATCTGATGAAAAACTTTTTATCTACCCGAAAGAAAATAATTTTAATAAGTATCTTCCCTTTCTGATATAAGAAACCTCATATGATCTTAACATCATCCTCTGGAACACGATAGAAAATCATAAAAACTTTAACATGTGTGATACTGTATATTGAAATTATGCCATTGTCTCTTTCAAAAAAATCTACAATGGAAGTCACGGATCATGCATATTTAGTATTAGAACGCGCATTAAAAGTTTATTTATTGATCCGAGCTCAAAGAACTATAAAAAGATTAGAATAAAGATTAAAATATGGATATACAAAGTGCAAATAAAATACATGATAAACAAACAATAGATTGATTATGTTTATTTATCGTTTTACCTATTTCCATTAAATTAAACTAATTGATATATATATATATATATAACACACGCACACACACACACACACACACACACACATATATATTGATATATTGATTATTTTTTTGTGATAGTTGTTGATATCATAAGCAACCCCCGGTGTTATTAGGCTTTTAATTCTTCTTTAACTAAATTTAGAAATATCCTGTTTTCGTATCTTGATGCTGTTCTTTTCTGTACTTTAACTGCTGCAAGAGTGAATGCACACGCGTCTCAAGAATGAAAATCATCCATTAAAACTTTAATTTTTTCCGATTTAAAACCCTATCTTTTAAAATAAACAATAATAAGCTTTTGAGTATATCTTATTATTGGTTTTGCGCGTAATAAATATTTATATAGTAATAAATTAAATAAATAATTAATTGGCAAGATGATGTGCTTGCTGTATTAAGAACGTGTGTTGTCAAACATTTGGACAAACAACAAAAGCAACAATGGCTGAACCGGAAATTTTTTAAACTATACACACTTTTTAATGCGAGTAACCAGTTTATTTTTATTAGTATATATCTAATATAAATAAAATAAATACCTAAGTTAAATTGGGTGAAACTAAGATAAATAGAATTTACTATTATTGTCTCGTTTAATTTATTTTTATATGTCTATTTTATTATTATTATTATTTTTAGTATTTTACTTTTTATCCTTACAATATACGCATGATCCGTGTGCTAGAGTATAATCGGCGTTTCCTAAATTTGCGATTCCATTATTAAATCCGTTATTGTTCAGTTTGACTTTGGTTTCGTGCATGAATATAATTTTTATTACGATTGTGACATTACTCCAAAAAATCAAAATATTAAAGTATTGTCTCTCCTCCTTTCAACTCTGTCTATTATACATATGAGTCATATTTTATACATTTTGTTAAACAATTATGCATTTATTTACGCGAGAAAAACAAAAGCTGCTCGTTTTCTGTGAACGCGTCAACACGTGCGAGTGTCAATGCGCTAAACTTTTAATATAACCGAGATTTTTCATGCCATACGACATTAGCTTATTGTGCTAGAATGCACATATATGAAAAAATTATGCTACTATGCTTAATTTTTCTTGCAAAATTTTTCCGAAATGCATTATTTCCTTAGATAGTGATCAAAGGATTCCGATTTTCGTTAAGATTAATATTTTTATGACAGGCACGTTCTAATACTTAATACTAGACGATAAACGTAGTTCGTTAAGCAGGCGTGCTATTATTAGGTTATAAGATACATATTTTGATAAGGGATATTTCTAAGAAATTCATCTCGTCATTTTTCGCTAGCCCAATAATAATTTTTAATCCAATAATACATAGAGGCTAATACGAAGAGGCGTAGACGTGGTAAAAGAAATACCGTATTATATTTGTATAGTTTATACAAAGCAAAAAAAAAAAAAAAATAAATCCCGCAAACCAGAATATTTTCTACTTAGAATGAATCGGCTGTATTATGATTTGATGATGATGATGATCAAGACAGAAAGCTTTTTAGAAAGAATAAAGTTTAACAATATACTCTTACTATACACAACAAAAAAAATGATGGGGGCATCCACCAGTCCCCAAAAATTCACTATTATCACATAGACTCTCTTTATTGTAATATATTATAATTGAATCATCTTACAACAACTATTTCCAATCAACAAAAGAACGGTAGGAAAAAAATCATCGCTCCCTCCGTAAAATGAAAGATATTACTATAAAGCATAGATCATTGACAAATGCGTCTCTTATTATACCGGTATATGTTCTTTATTGTGATTTACGTTTTGTAATACATTGTGGAAATTACCGTGCATGAATAAAATCATCGAATGACAACCGCCGCGTGTAATGAAAAATAAGATGATGAAAGAAGATAGAACACAATGCTGCAAGTCGAGCATAAACAAGATAAATTACTTGCATCTTTTTTTTTTGGGTTACTCAGTATAATAATCCAGTATTGTCATGTGTTTATTAAGAAAAGCCGTGGGAATCTTTGTATTTGCTCCTGAATGAGTGACATTGCATATCCGTAAATGGGGTAGAAAATCGGGAACTATAGATACCAGTTCAAGCATTCAAGGACCCTGATTGTTCCTTAGTGTCAACGAGTTATTTTTCAAATGTATCAGTATTCATAGACAATATTATGCCAGGTAAGTCGATTAAGGTTTGTTCGTTGAAGAAGAAGAAGAATAATACTTTGAGATAATATTTTTTTCGTAAGGATAGATCAAATTTTTTTCATTCGCTATTTGGATCTCGAACGCTCAAAATTTTCTTACTATTATTGCCGTTTCGTCGTTCTTATTATTGTTGTGATGATTAAAAAAATGATGATCTCTTTTTACAAAATATTATTCATCGATACAACAACTTACTGCGTAAATTAAGACTATGTAACACAGCGACCTATCTAAAAAATTTTTCCAATCAAATCAAAAATTATTACGAAGATTAATGAGTGACTTCTTTTCGTTCGATTCTTATTTATTCAAATCATATAATCGGCTAACGTGAAAGACCTTACGAAAAACAATGTGGGATGATATAAAGTAAAGATTTTCTTGATCTAAAACAACATATTGTCTGGGGATTCCTCTTGTAAGCCTGATTTGGAAAAAAATTTTTGATGAGCTACGTGGAATTTAGGGATGATGTTACTCATCATGATAAATTAACTCGAGATTAAAATTTTTGAGAAGATCAAGGGGATGTTCTCCACCCCCACAAACTCAGATTGAAAATGTATTAAATTAAAAGTAAAGTGCCCTTTAATATTTGAGCTTTGTGACACGAGATGTTATATTAAATACATATGTAAGAGTGCAAAAAAATATCAAAATAAAATCTTATGCATATTATTTTAAAAAAAACGTGTCGAAGATCTGTTTATGTTTATCCCGAATTTAGAAAAATTTTTATTTTCCTTTAAGTAATAAACAATTAAACAATTGTATTGTTGTTAAATGAAATTCAAATACTATTCATACATAAATATTTGCCGATGATTTATGCTATGTATAATTTATGCTATGTATAGTTCACTTACACTAAAGTAATCTCTCTCCGCCCTCATTAAAATAAGGAAAAATAATACAATGACAGAATACTTTTATTATAAGTTGAAAATTTTAATTTCATTGTTGCCAAAGATAGAGATCAAAAGGACTATTTTATGATCCATCAAGATTTATAACAATGGCAAATCTATATGCGCAAGGATTTAGTTTATTTTTTTTTATATTTTTTTGCATGATTTTAAGAGGGAAAAACTGGTTATAATTTTTAATAATATCATTTTTTTTTTAGTAATGTGAAGAAATTGCTTTAACTATGACGTTGTTCTAAAAACAAAGACAACTAGTAAATAACGAACCTCTTTAAAGAATAGGCGTAAACTCAGGGTAAAAAGAAAAAATTTTAACGTTACCTACAGCCAATACCTATTATCATTTATTCATTTGGACACCCAAAAAAAACAATTGATAATTAATTATGTTGACATACACACAAAATTTTGCGATAAACAATCTAAAGTATATATGTATGGTGACAAGAACGAGGGAATATTGTTTTTTTTTTCATTCACAAGATAAAACCATTGACATGTTTGATAGTTTCTTTGATTCTCAATGCCATAGAAATGTGTAACACAATGTTCATCGGAAATCAAGTAAATAATACAGGTATTAACTAGTTTCTATATTATCAATTAATTCGTGTTTTTTTCTCTTACAAATAAACCTTCTAATATTGTGAAACAGAGTGGGAAATTAAATGCATATGGTTTAGCTTGGATATTTTTTGTTCCGGTTTGGAATAAAGTCTTTATCATTGACATTCATGTTACATGTACAAACTTTTAAGTTATTAGGTAATCTTTAGTTATTGAGATGAATATTTTTGTCGTTCATTATTATGCCTAGTAATAGTTATCATCCCTCTGACCATAAACTTTTCAATAATTATATTAAATATTAAAACAAATGAAATCAAGTTTATTTAATTTGATAACTGATAATAAATTTTTAGATATCACAGATATCACATGTTCTCATCAGAGTAAAAAATAAGAAATGAATTATACATGTATATAGTAAACTGTAATAACAACTTAATGCTAGTTTTGTTTATTATTTTGCAAATGGGTATGGGCACATGAAGACTTTCTTGAATAAATTCTCGAATCAAATCATATTTTTACTAAAAGGAGCTAGACATATAGTTTTATTTTAAAAAAAAAACCACAAGCATCTATATTCCAATAATACCGGATTTATTATTCTCAAACAAAAAATTCATGTCTTTATAAAATTATAATCTTGAAGTTCTTATTAAGCATAGTGTTTGGGTTATTTTGTCGTGTTTTCTTCAAACCGAACGAAAATTAACGAAAATCATTGATGATACATGCGCAATGTAGAATCTACTTATAATTAAACATTTAATACCTACAGGCGTACAAAAAATCGTCATGGTTTTAGTTTGTTCATGAATAAGGATTACCCGTTTTTTGGAATCCAAGTTGTGTTTATTTCCAGAATACAATAGGTATATTCAAAAATAGGCTATTTTTTAAATTTTTTGCCCTAAATTTTGAATTGTTTAAGGATATAATAATTTTTTTTGGAATTCTATAACGTCATAATTTGTGAGTAAATTCCGTGATTATGATCGAGAAAGACTTTCATGCATAACAATAGTTTTCCAAAACTTGCAGTATTTTTACTTGGTTAATTTTTGTTATAATTTACATTTAAAGATTATGAATTTATTAAATTACATTTTTTTTATCGAAAATTGCATCATCGCCATCAAAGCGAAAATGAGCTATAGTTCTCCATTGATTCGTTGATTTTTAATATATTTTCTCGTAACTCTGTAAAGAAACGATAAAAATGTTTATTCAGGAATTCCAGAAATTTGTTAAAAAACTCTCGAAATGTCGGTAATCTCTGGATAAAAATTTATGGCTTAGTAACAGCATAAATTCATCATTTTACATTGATAATTCGAAAGGAATGGTAGTAAGTTAGGGAGCATCAACTTGCAATTATCTGTCAAAAACGGACAATGGCATACGCACGACAATCATTATTGAACACGACTAACAAATATGCCATATTAATGTGCTGATTTATTCAATAAGATAATACTTATTATATAAGTGTAAGAAAAATAATTTTTTATATATAATTCATCATACCTTTCTGCAAGGGTCAATAAATTTGCTGGTGTATTCTATTAAAAATGAAGTAGAATTCTCTACTATTCTATAGTGTTTATTCGATCGCATAAAACCCGCGATATTCTTTATCTTTGCGCAAAAATTCTGAGAACAAATTTTTGTAAAGTCTATACTCATCAAAGTAAAAAAGTTCAATAAATTTAGTATTAACATTAAAAAGTCGCTTTTCCGAAGCTCGTTCAAACGTTCATCTACTGTATAATAAAGGATTTAATATTAACATTTGAATATTTCGATTTTACAGGATGAATGGTTTTCTTTTTAAAAAAAGTTTATTCTTAGTTTCTTTTTTATAAATTTTGTATGCTTATTAAAATAAATTTGAAATCAAATATCGCTAATCAATCATCATCACTCTATCAATTGAACGGAAAATTTTAGATTTACGCGTACGCGCGTTAAATTTTTGATCTACATATTACATATAAAAATCCGGATAATGCTCACGTTCATCAGAAAAAAATTTTAAGTAATAATCAGGTTTTTTAAATTGAGTGATAAGAAACCTAACGTGATATTTCTTGATTTAAAGAGAAAAAGGGCACCAATTTTCCAAGATTATAGGAACATATTTTTGTAATGTCACAACATATTTTTATGGACGTTTTCTTACCAAAATTACAAAAACCTGTTGAAGAGAAGGAAGAAATATAAATATAAAAATTTTAACTAAATTGCTCGTAAAAGTTCTACATGGGATGATTAGATAATAAATTCCATATATTTCACTTATTAAGTGATGTTCAAAAATCCTTATCACCCAATTTTAGAAATTTGATACAACATCAAAAAGATCCATAAACTAAAATTTCCGGTGGCCCTCCCTCTCTCTATATATGTACATGTCTCATATATATATATCTCATATATATATCATGCCATATACTGTACATTATTTGTGCATAGTAAGAGAGGTAACCAAAGTAAGAAAAAAGAATAGGAAAGCGCGCGGTTTGCGCACAGACTCTTTCCATAAATGCACGTGGATTCTTTACACGTGTAAATCATTACGCGTACTGCTTTGTATTTACTAAAAAACTAAATGATGAAAATACAATAAGAATATTTTGAATGTTTATTATCTTGTTGTTTTATACAGGTATACATATGTATATATATATATAACGTATAAAATATATGTGTAATATATGATGAATAATATTAGATCGACATTTTGTTTTAAAAATGGCGTAAATTCGGCAAAATTTTTTCGCAATTATTTTATTCTCTATTTAATTAATTAGATGTAACTACTTTTTTATTTTGTGTTTTGCACATGCAGTCTTTTGTTCACATCACAAAGGTTGTTTATCTAATTGTTTATTTTCCCCTTTAATGAATCGAGCCATCATTACGCGCGTTAAAACCAGATTTGATTTAATGGATAATGTAATGCACCACGCTTTTATATTAAAAATTAAAAATTAAATTAAATGAGACGGAAAAACTTGCCTTTCTGTTGGATGTTATCTCGCACGCATTTCATTGATGATGTGTCTGTTTATTGTTTAATGACAAACAGGATTAAATATGTAAAAGATTTAATTTAATTAATTTATGCGTTTTTATTTATTTATTGAGATGTTGAATCATTTTAACATTGAATAAGTTCTAGAATAATGTGTCGTGAATCGACTTACAATGTGTAAATTCACATGTTAACAAATAATTTTCACGGGAAAGCATTTTGGAAGTAACATCTCTCCTTGATCAGTAATTTTAAGACAATCATTTGAGAGCTAACGCTTATTAAGTATAACGCGTATCCATGTATAAAACAAAAAAATGAAAGCTTTCTCATTAGTTGCTCTATGATATTACATAAAGATCACATTAGCCGATCTAAAACACGATTTAAAGATTAATTTTGCTAGGGTAAGAAGCGGTTTAAAGCATGACGATGATAAGAAACAATATTTAATATTATTTTATGCCCAATAATATAAGTACTATATCATTATTATCCTTTGATTGCGATAAAATCACTTGATTACGTGTGCGATCCGAAAAAGGACAACAAAAGATCAATTAAACTTTTGTGCATCCTTAATAATAAGGTACTATCACGAAATAATCTATAATAATCATGAATCTGGTTTATCATCAATCACACACATTGTAACATGCTATTTTCCTGTTATTAAATTGTAATCTAACGAAATTAACTACATCTAATTGAGCAAAAAAAAAATTTATATTGATTGTTGTGTCGTTATATTAAATGGTGCGACATAGTTTATTCGTTATTTAATTATTAACGGGTAACAAAGAAAAAATTTTTTTTGTCATTAGAAAATTCATTTATGTAATGAAAACAAAAATAATCAGTATGAAGAGAAAATGATTGGTCTGATTTTTATCTTGCGAGTGTTCATCATGCTGTTACATGTATTTCATGCTGTTCATTCCAACGGCCAAACGGATGAAAGCTCAGAAATCAAGATATCATGCTTCTAATGATATTTGAAACATTGAATTTATTATTAGTTTGTTTTTCTCTGATTTGATGAGGTTTGCTGAAATTTTGAAACAATTTCATGTGCGATAAATTATACCTAATGTTCGTAACGGTTACTGATTTGAAAAACCATATGTATTCTTGCACTAAATTGGGGAAAAGGTCTGGATACATATTCGAAGATGCATCGTAATAGTATTTGCTTAAGTTTCTTTATTCTTTTAATCTCAACATGAATGGTCCATTAATTTGGTGTTTGGACACTCCTTCATTATTTCAATTTTTGGTTTCCTATTTGACACGCCAAAAACCAAATTAAACCAACTTATATCACATTAATATCTTATGAGACACACACACACACATACACACGCGCGCCATAGTCCTCTATTGATTAATAATTAATTAATTAATTCAAACACACTCGATAACGCATCATATCATATCATAATCTTTAATTTCTATGATTTATAATAATCGCAAAAAACAACAAAAAGATCTTTGTCTCGTATTTATTTTATCATGCGTACTTGTGTGCTTGCACATTGAAGCGATACAATTATCATTATGATTAGGGGACAGCATCTTTATTTTCCTTTTTATTGCCTGATTCGGAAAGATGTAACCTATAAGACAGCAAAAACCAAAACTTACATGTATTATCTGACTAACGGATCATCTGATTTATTTGATAAAAGTGTATGCGGTATTCTTTCAAACAAGTTTGATAACATGATGATGCGTTATGATGCATTTTTTTCTGAGTGTATAATTTTTCGGATTATTTCCGAAGCGCCGCGCTACCTTTGGGAAGCATCCCTATATTAGTGATATGCACGCACTTACGAAATGCTTCGTCACAACTTGATCCAATAAATCACGGGGTGTTAGTCTAACAAAAAAATCATGTGTCCATGTCATGACTGCCGTAGCAAGCTTATGATCGATGACCTAATTGAAACGTCGTGGCGCAATAATGATGTCAGATGAATGAACTCCCAATCATATTTCGATTACCTTATAATGACTATCATTTGAGAATTTTCTTCTTTGTCAATTATCCGAAACGAAACATCTCCTTACAAAAAAATTCAATTGTGAGCATATCAAATGACAATAATAACAGTCCAGAACGTATTCTTGCTTGACTCTGTAACCAAAAAATAATCTGAAACAATTTTCCTTTCTGTCTCGCCCGAACACCCTAAGCTTCGAGAAACAAAAACAACCCATTCAGCCACATTTACGCAACACTGTACACTCGTCGTCATTGTCTCACGTCATTTATGGTAAATTACTAACAACTAATACTAAACCAAGAGAGTTGTTGTTACATTATCACCATCATGCTATTGTCGATCCTAACCAACATGCCCAAATTTGGATATTTCGTGATTTAAACGCGTAAAAAATATCTTTTATTATTAAAAGCAAAAAAAAAAATTGTTATCAAATAAGATCACATACTCAAACACAATTATCAGACATGATTCCTAAGATTTCAGTTGTGTATGTTATATATTTATTTATGCTCCGTGTATGTGTGTGTGTGTGCGTAAATATATATATATATATATGAAGATTACATTTACAAGACTTTTTCTTTTGCTAGTTTCTCTGCTTTGGATAAGTAGTAAGATTTGTTTGATGTAGTGTAGGAGATTAAATGATTCAATGTGATGGGAAATTAAAAACTAGAACTAACTAATTCAACGACGTGTGAGAAAGAGAGAGGAGCGAGAGAAATCAATAAGCTAAAGAAAAAAGAGGGTTGGTGTGTATATGTGCAGATGTGTGTATAGTTTTGCTTATAATTTAAGCAGAAAAATTGTTTAATATGAATTGAAGGAATGTTGTGCCAGCACATCAATAATGTGTGAATTGGACAATAAATTAAGAAAAGTCAGAAATTTCTAAATCTCTTTCAATCTATACAATAACGAAAAAAAAGGGTTGCAATTTCTTCTCGCTCTCTCTTCACTCACCGATACAAATTACTATATTGTATGTGTGTGTGTGTATATATATATATTGATCCTTAAAAATACACGATTTCTGAAAATGATAGTTTTTTAGTTGAGCAGAAAAGGTTCAAAGACGAAACCCTTCCTCGTATTATTGTAAAAATAAAGAAACCAGAAATATAAATAAAAAGGGAAGAATTCAATGCAAGAAATGCTAATTTGTAAAATGCTATTGTTTTTTTTAATAGAAAAAAATTAAAAATAAAAATAAATAAATAAGTAAAGGAAAAAAAAGAGAAGAGAAAAAAAATGTTCGTTTGTATAATAGTAATGTTATCTATCAGTTATGTGAGGGGAAAATGAAACGGGTAGGGAAAAGGGTTATAAAAAAGCCCAGAAAATTGCACACTGGGTAGTTTGAAAAGGGGAGATGATAATCAAGAAGTTTACAGAAAAAAAAAATAGAAAAATAAATACAAAGAAAAGATAAAGTCCTAGACATTCTCTATAACCCAAGAAAATACCAAAGATAAAAATATATTTATTCAGCAAAACCCAATGTAAAAAAACCGACACACTTTATAAAAATATCGCAAAACCCACCCATTTATATATTTCCCTTTGGATTTTTTAATTTTTTTTCTCTCTTATGTATTTTTTTTCCTTGTTTTTAGTATTTTAAAACAATTTAGTTAAGTTTATTATTGATAGTGGAGACCAGCAGCAGTTTGATGACTATCATAAAATTGAAGTTCATTATGAAGTAAAGCGACATAGGAGATATTATTATCAGTAGGTGGCTGATAGTAATGGTCTGGCGCCGCCGCCACTGGATGATTAGCAATCGGCGAATTTGTTACAGAAGAATTAGAAGTAGAAGGTGTAGATGGACCATTATGTAAATAATATTCATGGATATAGTGTTGCGATGCCTGTTCTACATCCGGTATTGTGTAAATGTTACTGATGTTATTGATGTTATTGATGTTTGTCAAGAGATTCAGCTGGTTTGGATAGGGATTATTCTCTACGTGATTATTATTGTTGTGGTTGTTGCTGCTGCTGATAGGTCTTCCTTCGTATAAATCGATTGGAGTTTGCTGATAGTAAGGTGTCATTTTCTCTGTTGCTCGCAACATTGAAGGAATCGAATGTGATGGTGTTATAGGAGCAATCGGTTGATATTGTTGTTGTTGTTGTTGTTGCGACGTGTACATCAATGCAGCGGAGGGATCGGAATAGTTGCCGTATTGTTCAAGTGGAAATGGCGTCGTTGGATGATTAAATATCGAAGTTCCGGTTGCAATGGGTTGATACATTTTCAACTGATTTTTGATTGAATTGCTTCGAATTGGCCCAGTTCTTGAGGGTTCCAGATTCTTGTTACTTTGCTGACCATTTAATTTGTTGGATGCAGCGGCAACAGATTTTTTTGCTTTTTCTTGACGAGCATTCTTTCGAGTTTTATCCACTTTATTTTTTTTATTTGGCTTGTAAATATAATTAGGATATTGCTTCATATGCTCCAATTTTCTTCGATCAGCCATTCTCTCCCACTTTAATTTTTCTTGCGGGGGTTCAGCTTTCCACATCTCGGCCATTTGTCTAGAAACTTGAGCATTAGTCAGATGTTTATCAGCTTGAATTAAAGCCGGTTGTTTCGCTTGTCGGTAAAGTATAAATGCATTGGGGGGACGTGGTGGTTGTTTTGCTATGGTAGAATCCGAAGCGTTAGAATCAGAATTGGCCGGCATTTTTCCTGATATATCCTCGTCACCAGCAGCAGCACCAGCAGCAAGTGATGATTCATTAATGAACGTTGAATCTACTGCATCGTTGCTATTATTATTCTGTGAATCAAAAATTGAATCTTCTTTGCTTGAATCATTGTTAAACATCAATAATCCGCAATATTTTTTCATACTGAATGTGTTGAAAAGAAAGAGAATAAAAAGTTTTTTGTTTTGAAAGAGAAACTTGCGACGATAGTAGTTGTATGCTAATTAGAAATTTGAAATTGAATATATAATTGTTTTTCTTTTTGGGAGGATGTATTTATATAAGTCCCACAAACGAAGAAAATAAACTTTTAAAAGGTTAAAGAGAAAAAAAGTAGAGGAAAGAGAATTTTTGTGGTTGAATTTAAGTGGAAAAGAAAGGATTATTTGTATGAATTTTTATACGTTTTCCAACGGGTTACAAACAACTATATATATATGAATGTAAGAGTAGTTTTATATATATATATAATATTTATATATGATATTATATAATAAAATATACATGTACTTTAATATGAATGAGTGGGTGTGTGTAATACGATATATATTTATAATATAAATTTAATATAGAAATATAATTTACACATATATATGTGATATTTATATGTGATAATAAATATATATATATATATATATATATATATATATGTATGTATGTATGTATGTACGTACGTACGCAGAATCACCAGCAAAAGTCGTAGCGGATAGTCTCCATATGCTACTGAAAGTTGTTGTTTTTAGATTCATCGAATTAAGAGAAAACCACGTTGCTTCTCTTGATATTATTGGGGAATATCGTCAGCAATGAGAAATATTGCGACTAAAAAAAAACAATACTTAAAAAATGTTTGTTTGAATTAAAGGAGTTAGATTTATATATTCTTCTCACATATACATACACAAATACATAACGTACATTTGATACATAGGCACGTTTCAATTAATTGACGAGCATAAAGCAGTGATAGCAGAGGAGAACTATTTTTCATGGTTTTCTCTTCCCACTCACCCCTTTCAATTAACAATATTTACATAATTGTTATATAATTTAAATTTCAACTTGACCAAATAAAAAGAATACATTAGAATAAATGAAAGCTATTTGTTATATTACAGTTATCCAATTCAATTGAGGTTAAATTCAAGTATTTCAAAATACTAAACTAAAAAATCATATCATATTTATTTATTATTTGCGTATATATGATGAATACCCTGACCATATAACGTTCTTTCGGAGGGGCGTGATAATTGAGAAATTAAACCCCAAAAGTTATTTAAATTGAGTACCCTATTATATGCTTAAAAAAGCTTATTTAATTATTTTTAATGAAATATTTTCTATATATACTGACTAAAATATTAGTGATGATAAAATAATTGTGATTATCCAAATGAGGAAAATTTGAAATAAATATATGCCCTCTAGTTTTGGTTTAATCAATGATTTAATTTACGATGACGATGTATCCTAATAAATGGCTCATTAAAAATGAAAGATGAAGGTTTTTAATTTGGAAATATCCGTTCTGTTGTTGATCAAGAGATAATCAGACGCAATTACAAACGAATATCTTTTGCTTTTTCTTTCCATTATTTCTGCCCTAGCTTACTCTAAACGGTTTCTCATTTATCGCGATATTTTAGTCATTACGATATTTAATATAGCTACAATTGATGAACATTTAAAGTTTAACATATACGTGGCATAAGAGCACAATTTAAGCATATTTAATTAAAAAGAAGCAAGCGATGAATTTAATTGGTTCGTTCCAGTCTCTTTTGAGACGACGCGCCTTTATCTCGAAAATACTTGATCTTTAAGAGTCGTTTAAAAATGCATTGTAATTAAAAATAATTATAATTTATAATTATAAGGTGACCCTTAAGGATGCTGAAGATGTTTATGGGAAATCGCGAGAGAGCGAGCGAGCGAACAACAATATCAAACAAGTGAAAGTCCTTTCTTTAATCTTATTATTGTTGCCTCAAAGAATGTTAACGTAACCTCTATTGTGTGTGTATTTGTTACCTGCTCCTATAGGAATGGAATGATAATAATAATATATTTTGTTATGGTTGTTTTGTTGATATTCGGCACGATCTCATTGAAACGATTTATTATTCTACGAATTTAGTTTATATTAGTTTAATAATAATATTTACACACTAATGAAAGAAAACGCCTTCAATCCACACGATTTCTCAATTGGGTAGTTTGGTATTCCAATGCTGGTTAGCGTAAGACAATAAAAAAGAAAAAGCAACGGAGATGTGGATGTGAGCGAAGCGTCATGACTGTGCAATTTAGCAACTCCGGGCTCGAGAATCACGCGTAATATCTGATTATTGTTAGGTTAGCGCGTGATTTTCTTTTACTTTATATTACAGCTGTCCCAATTATCACAATTAAGTTTAAAGTACAGAGCGTATTTCGCCTGGTGTCCTCTAATAACACATTCAAAAATGTTTCGGGTTTGAAGAAAATAACATCATTGTGTGAACCGAAAAAAACACTCGTCACTTAAAATATGGTAAATCATTGTTTAAAATAACATTTTGTGTCACATTCAACTTTATTTTTGTTTATCCTGGGGTGTTTCATCGTCCAAGTGCACTACGTATATATATACCCTGCACAACATTTTAAAGTGAGAATTCTGTATGGAAAGCTTGGCACACGCCACACAATACATGTAGGTGATAATTGAGAAATACTAAGGAAAAAAAAAAAAAATACGGCCGAGGGTGGCTATAAAACCATTCATTGAATGTTTCAATTTTGCGATACGTGACACGATGGCTCATGCTACATGATATCATTATGGACTACATTCATCCGTTCTCCTGTTGGGGTCGGATATAGAACTTTATACTAAAATAATTTGGGAATCGATTCTTTTTGATCGGATATGATAAGACAATTCGTATTTCAGCCACGGTTTAAAGTGGTTATTTTAACCTGATAGACGGTATCTGCCGAAAAATAAAAGTAACGCAAATAAAAACTCATTATCCGTTTCACCCGTGTTTTCATGTCATCATTTTTTTTTTTGCTCGGAAGCAAGAAAAACGCGGTAAATTAACAATAAGGATGGGTGGGAACAATGACACTTGCAACATATAGGTGAAAAACATACAAATATGTTAATTTTTCTATATACGGCATTAATCGATGTACATGTTATGTAAGAACAAAAAGAATTTTTCCTTTTAAGGAAAAAAATTCTTAATTAATTTTTCTTGAATTAAAAACTCTATTAGCATTCATAACAAAATTGTTGGAATTTCAAATCATTGATACATCAATTAAATCAATAAAA